CTGGCTTTTCTGTCTCTTGCCACAGGTTCCTCCTTGGAGCATTGACAGACTCCCACTAATGTCAAGTTAGATCTGTCTTGCAACTTTGTCTCAGTGATGAAATTAACTAAACGGCATCTGAAATGCTCATGGCAGCTGGTCTTACTAAGCTTTGTCTGAAACTAATTCTTATGAGGATGATAGATATGTTTGTCTTCACTTTTATTAAATATGAAATGTGCAAGCATCAGGTTTGCCATATGCAATTCGTGGTTGTCTGTGGTCGCACCATCGCCACGTGAGTCATAGAGTATCCAGCTCACCCGGGATGAGCTTGATGAGCTCGTGCAATGAAGAAGGCTCCTGCTCACATGCTCTGAGAGCTTCTGTGAGTTCCAGATCTCCAGATCCGTCCTTCCACCAGTGTATTTGGCAACAGTAAAGATCCACATTCATGATAAAGCCTTTTTATGCTGTCATGCTCATCCTAGCCACTGAATGTTTTTTTTAAAAAAGCATGAAACAGCTACATATTCACAGGCTAACGGCTGAAGTTGAACCGTAATCAGTCAACGGTTGTCTGAGGCAATGGACTATGTAGAGATCGAAGATTTAATTAGGTCACAGTTTTACAGAACTGAGCCCAGGATGAGGTAGGTGGCCCCATTTGTTTGCTCTCTGGAGAGGGCAGTGAATGGCACTGGCAGAAATGCAGAGCTTCTTACAAAACAGGTGTAAATCCCAATGAACTTGGGCTAGGTAATGGTTTTTAGATATATATTAAAAGACAATCATTAAACTAAATAATACATCATTAAAATTGAAATCTGTTTCACTCCGAAAGCACCATCAAGAAAATAAAAAGGCAACCTACAACATGAGAAAAAATATTATAAGCCGTATATCTGATAAGAGCCTAGTATTCAATTATTAATTTCCAATGATTCAGCAACCAAAAAAACAAATATCCCTATTTTTAAATGGGCAAAGAATTCTTACAAACATTTTCTGAAGATATACAATGGTTTAAAAGTACATGAGGGGCCTGGTGCAATAGTGTAGCAGTTAAAGTCATTGCCTTAACTTTGCTGGGATCCCATATGGGTCCTGGTTCTAATCCCAGTGGCCCCACTTCCCATCCTGCTCACTGCTTGTGACCTGGGAAAGCAGTAGAGGATGACCCTCATCCCAGCGGATGTGGCATTGTTGTACTTCTAGGAAATTTTCTTGTTTTCTTACACTATATGAATTCAGTTCAAAATTGTAAAATTTGAGTGAAAACTCATTATCTTGAAAAATTCATGAAAGTAAAATTATGTGGCTTGATGTCATAATGCTGTCAGTCAGAACACAGATCGTTTCAACTCTTTTGCAGTTCTGCTGTGCTCTTTCCTCTTTCTCTTCCTTCTTCCCTCCTTCCTTTCCTTCCTCAAACATTTCCGTAGCACCGTCTCTGTATCCGACACTGAATGGAGCCTCAAGGTAGAGATAAAAATGAGGCATAGATGAGCAGGCTTGCAGTCCAGGCAAGGAAGATTGAGGAGATCTGAACAGAGTGGCCTCTTTGGGTTCCAGTGACAGGGCGTGCACCGCACGTCGCGGCAGCATGAAGGCAGGAGAAACACCCCAGAGGCAGACCTGGGGAGCAAGGAGGGAATTTACACCCCAATAACAAGAAACAGGGACCCTATTGGTATTATCATACTGTGTTTAGCCCTCCTTCTTTTGCTAAAGAAGATAACTTCCACTTTTGAGTAAAAGAATTATGAGCCCTGGAACAAAAAGGAAGAATATGATACTCAACGTTCAAACTGTTTTAGCTGAATTTTTTGTTTTAGTTTGTGTTTTCTTATATCTCACTTTTGAGTCTTTAGGCAAACATTTGGCCATGGGAAATTACAGAGAAGGAATGAACTCAATGTTTCCCTCCCCTCAAAATATCAGTGCTCAGACTTTTAAAGAAAACAGTGACTGCACATCGTTATGTAATCAGTTTGACAGCTGTTAAGTTGTAGAAATGTTTTAGGGAGATTGAGCAAGATCTGCGTTGTAAGGTTGCCTACACGGATGGGTCATGCATCAGCTGGCACTTGGAGATGCAAGGCTGCTGGTGCGGGGAAGGCAGGCAGTGAGTGCCCAGGTGGGGAAAATGTCTGAGGAAGGTCATTGCTGTGAAAGGGCACCACCTGCTGGTCAGACTACCAGAATTTTATTTAATTCTGAAATTTTATGTAACTAGGGCTGGAAGCAATGCAGTAGTCCTTGCTTTCAAAATAATCATTCCATTGTGTTCTAACAGTAATCTGTCTCAAAAGTCCTTCCTCGTGCTTCTAGAATGAACACAGGGCTGCACCTTGTGATTTGGGGAAATTTTCGTTATCAAACCACCTCAGTTTTTCTCATCTAAAATTGCACTGAGATAGAAAATTTTAAGATAAGATGATGTGTGAGAAGTGGCATATTGTCAATACATGATTACTAAAACAGCCATGAATTATACCAAACATTTAATATAAATGCAGTTTTTTTCAATTTTAAAAGCACAGTAATTTGCAGTACCTTTATAATAGTTGTTAATTTTTTTTTTTAACTTACAAGCAATTTGAGATAGATTCATCTTCTAACCAGTAGAACTACAAGTCTAATGTTCAACCAGTTAGTGTTTTGGAACAATCACATGAGCACAACTCAGTTGTTATTGCTCGCAATGCCTTGGGTTAGGCTGAGACCCTGGATTCACAGACACAGCAGCGCTAAGAAACTGGTTGATACCTGGCAGTAATTATTGAGAAGAGAAGACACCTTGTGTCAGTGGCTAAGCTCACCTATGGAGGCTGTTTTGAAATAGCACTTGACAGCAGTGATATTTTTAGTTAAAGCAAAAGTCAGTGGGCTCCTGGAAGCGGCCGCTACCTGTGTGATGTGCCCACGTGAAGAATCTGCGAGTGAGTGTGCTTCGTGTGTTTTATTGATAGAGATAATCCTCAGCTCCAGACCTTTACAGGTGGAGACATGAGAGCAATCAGTTACAAAGACAAATTAAAAATAGGGATATAGGATCCAGCATCTACTTACGGTGCCCAAGCACCAAAGTCTGTGACTTGCAAGTATTGGTGTTAGCTAATCCTCAAACTCGGTGATAAAGATCTCATCCTCATGGCTTTAATGACTCCTAGACAGGAAGAGATTTTATTTTTCTGATATGCTTGGAAATTTGTCTATGGAAATTTCTGGTTGTGGTATTATGTTCTCACTAAATCTGTGACAAATAATAATGATGTAAAGAAATTAGACTTTTCTGTTTAGGGGATATATTATTTGATCCCAGAGAGCTAGGAAGCATTGGATTTGGGATCAATGTTTATGACAACTGTCTCTGACAGAGGCTCACATATCCTTTATGCTTGAAAATTGTTTTACAATTTTAATTCATTTTATTTGAAAAGCAGAGGGAAATATGGAGAGACAGAGATCTTCCATCTGCCGATTCATTGCCCAGTTGCCTGGGGGTCTCCTACATTAACTACAAGGACCCAAGTGCCTGGGCCATCTTGTGCTGCCTTTCCACATCCATTAGCAAAAAACTGGATTGCAAGTGGAGGCACTAAGGCTTAAAACAGCCCTTCCCCATGGGATACCAGGCAGCAGCTTCACCTACTACACCACAGTACCAACCCCTGTGCTGGAAATCTTTAAGATGTGTCTAATACTAAAACACTAAATCTGTATACTGAAAATGATTTGTAAACCATTTTATGACACGTATGTGAATTACCTGCATGAATATACACAATATATATGTGGCATATTCATTATATGGGGGCACTTCAGGGAGTTTATGGAGAAAATAACTTTAATAATGAGCTTATTGGGCCCAACAGAATAGCCTAGCAGCTAAAGTACTCACCTTGCATGCGCTGGGATCCCATATGGGTGCCAGTTCATATCCTGGCTGCTCTACTTCCCTTCCAGCTCCCTGCTTGTGGCCTAGGAAGGCAGTTAAGGGCAGCCCAAAGCCTTGGGACCCTGCACCCACATGGGAGACCAGGAAGAAGTTTTAGTTAACAGAGCAGCTGCTGAGCCCTGCAGCTTCCAGCTGTGCGCTCAGCCACCTGACATCCCCCCATGGCCGCTTCCTGGGTGACTCTGGAGATAAGTTCTGCAGCAACTCAAAACTTAGCGTTAAAGACCCTGGATAGGAGTTTAGCTTGCTGGACCACGTGAGGGGTCAGGACTCTGGTCAGCGGTGTCCTCCCACTGGTTGTAGCACTTCAAGGTCATCTGTAGTTGGACCTGTCTCTAAAACTAAATCTCCTTTTCCTTACCTGTGAAATGGAGACAGTAATAACACCTTCTGTGGGTGGCATGAAGAGGTGACATCATGGGCATGCCAACATTTGGAGCCCTACACAAGCACCCAGAAATGATTTTTTAACTCGATGACAGGTAATTTTGAATTCCCTGGCTCAGGCTTCCTCATTGAGAACATGGATTGTCTTCACACATCTGGCTGGACCAGTGTCCTTCTAACCAGTCTTGATACGCTGCTCTGTTTGGGTTCCCTGTCTGCAGCAAAGAGCAGTGTGGCAGTGTGGCACTCCGACTTAGGATCCAGTCGGCCTCCTGCTGTCTGGGAGAGCATCTCACTCCTGAAGTGTCACTTTGCAACTAAGTAACTAGGATCCTATATTGTGAATGACAGTTCTCTTTCTGTGTTTTCACCAAGTAGCCTCAGAGTTTCTCAGAGCAGAAGCGTTCACAGCTGAGCTGGGCCAGCGCCTTGGTTTAGAGATAGCAAAACTGAGAGTCGGCACGAGGGATTTCACTGACATCACCCAATGAATGGGAGCCCAAATGGGCCACACAGCCAAGTGTCTTGACCCAGACCAGCCCATGCCCTGACTCTGCTCCTTGTACCCAGAGTGGTGGGTGTCTGGGCTGTTGTGCTTTGCTGTGTTACTGACCGTTCTTGTGAATAGAGTGCCTTCCTTCTCTGAGTGTTTGTCCCTTGTCCCTTACAGAAGGCGACTGCATAAGCTGGGGGTGACGAAGGTGACCCAAGTGGATTTCCTGCCACGGGAAGTGGTATCTTACTCCAAGGAGACCCAGACCCCGCTTGCCACACATCAATCTGAAGGTGGGCCGTCTTTTTATTTACTTTCCTTGTCACTGCTGGATAAGTCGCCAGGAACATGCACCCTTACTATTGATTTCTCGCCTTGCCGTAAGAAATCTTTGCAGATATAATGACTCTGGAAGCTGGAGGCTCCTGTGGCTTTCATTGGGAATGTTCCAGAAAGGGGACACACAGATATTCCTCCTCAGGGACTGTAAGCTTGCAGGTGCATCACGTGCGGAATCACACTGTCAAAACCAAAGCACAGAGGAAGAGGAGCATCTCCGGATGGTGCCAATGAATCACATTCATTATTTGCGGGCATCAGCCAACTGCAGCCCCTCACATTTTCTTGGAAATCAAGAGATACTCAAATACAGCTACCCGCTAACCACATCTATGGCCACCTTCTTGCCATCATGGTTAAAGGGCCTTCCCTTGCGCTCCAGAATGCCCGACATCTTTCATCTGGCCCTTCACTGGAGAGCTTCCCTGAGCCCTGATTTGCTCTTGCAGTTTATGGGACAACACACAATCATTTCTGACTACAATGCACACATATTTTGCGATTAAGTTCTCTATCATTGACTGGATATTGAACTCCATACCTCTTTTGTGTATCCCAGAAATACAAAATAGAAAAACTCCTTGAAAATCTTAGTGAATCGTAGGAATAAACTAATAAGAGAAGCTGTAGGTGATGCATGGAAACTCTGTCCAGAAGCCGAGAATTCCGTCAAAGTGAAGTGTGTGTGCTGGAAAGAGGTACATGCGTTACTGTTAAACGCTGATGTTGTTATGGCAAAGCAGATTCTCTCTTCAGCTTGCTATTTTCTTGTTTGCTGTGGCGAGGAGGATGTTAGAACTCGGTGGGTCATTCTGTAGTAAAGACTGAACCAAGGGCAGGAGGATGAGAAGTGATTAATTAGTACTTTCTACTTGATTTACAGAAAATGCATAAATTAGTGGTTTGATTGGGCAAGCTATGGAGGTTTTTCAAGTGTGGGTTTGTGACACACGCAGCAGAACAAAGTAAGATGTTGTTTCCTGTGTGGCCTACACACAGGATTACTACTGAAGGGTCTTCTCTGATTGCAGGACCTTTGAGTGAAAATCACTTTAGGCACAAACTAGTAGCACCCTCTGGTGGTCAGTTTTGAAACCAGCCAACCCACCAAACTGGAGATTCATGGGTTTAGTATGGCAGAAAATACAGCTAGAAAAACCATTGGGAGTTCGGTGAGTCTGTCCACCGGCTCTCTGACGAGAATGGAAGATCGTTAAAAAGCACCCTTGCTACCCAACTAAAACATTTGTTTGAGTTAATTTGCTGCCAGCGGTATGTGCAAAGCTATTGCCGGAGGTATGTTTATTTAGCCCCAAATCTGACCCATAACATGGAGTTCTACAACTGAAATAGAAGAAGGAGTGAATTATTTTTTTTAAAAATGTGTGTACTTAAGCTATTGGAAATGGTAGAGGAATATTTACAAGGGAAGATAAATTAAGGATGAAAAGGCATCAAGTCTAAACTGTTACGCTGGGACACATCAAAGGCAAAGTCTGTACGTTTCATTTTATTACTGCAGAGAGCGCTGGGGAACCCTCATTAGGTTGTGGTCCAGGCAGCAGGAAAGAAGGGATTTATTTCTCAGCTGCTGGCAGAAGTTCATTCTGTTTTGTTAACAAGACCCTTAGAGCTTTTTCTGTGGTGATGGACATCGAGCTGGTTCAAATTCCACAATAGAGATTTGAACTCCAAGCCAGCTACCAGGGTTCTTGACATGAAAGCTATCCTGATGGGTTTGGACAGGAAAACCTTCACATCTGGGTTCAGCAAATTGCGCTCTCACCGCAGACAATATCTTGACCTTGACTGCTGCAGTTGTCCAGCTGCCTGCCTGCCCAGGGTACCAGGTACCCACCCCTCACCTGCTGTGTGGAGGTGGTTGGCAGGAGCATGGGAAGGGGAGAGCAACTGGCTGTGTGGTTCTGCCACTGAGAGGGTTTAAGTTGGCTTCTGGATTGGGATTTGAGCCATGACCCATGTTTTCATGACTGCTGCAGCCTTTCAGAAGCAAGAAAGAACTCGCTGTTGTTTTACAATGCAATAAAACTCTTGATGCGGTATATATTTATTATTATTTATTTTTATTGGAAAGACATTTACAGAGAGAAGGAAAGACAGAAATATCTTCCATCTGCTGGTTCATTCCGCAAGTGACCACCAATGGCCAGAGCTGAGCCAATCTGAAGCCTGGAGCCAGGAGCTTCTTTCAGGTCCCCTTTGTAGGTGCAAGGTCCCAAGGCTTTGGGCCATCCTGCACTGCTTTCCCAGGCCACAAGTGAGGGGGGGGGGTCACCAGAAGTGGAGCAGCCACGACAAGAACTGGTGCCTATATGGGATCCCGGTGCTTTTGGGGGCAAATTAGCCAACTGAGCCACTGTGCTGGGCCCTTTAGTGCGGCATATTTAGGGTGGCCTCCAAAACAGCATCAAAAGGAAAATTAAAAGATAATTTTAGGACTAATGTTTGGTGCAGTGATAAAAAGCCCATATCTCATATCACAGTGCCTTGGTTTGAGACCTGGGTCTGTTTCTGATTCCTGTGTCCTGCTAAAGGGCACGTTGGAAGAAACAAAGTAATTAATGGCTCAAGTGCTTGGATCTCTGCAACCTACATGGGAGACCCACATGGCTCTAGCCTTATTCTGGCTCAGATTTGGCTACTGTGGCCATGGATAGAAGGTATCTTTTGTCTGACTGTCTCTCTTTGTCTTTCAAATAAACAAAATGCATTTGTTTGGGTATCAAAAAGTTTGAAAACCCATGCATTTTTTTCATGCTATGCATTTCCATAAACTTTTTGAAAATTCTTAATTTGCATGTTTTCCAAAAAAGAAATTTTTGTACCAAAAGAAACTTATCTTCTCATTGCATTTCCAACAACTTTTTAGGCACTCTGTTGGAGATGCACACCAGCTTGTGATGGGTCAGACTCTCTGAAGGTGATGTTTTTTAAAGTCGCTGACTCTGGAAAGTTTAGCGGGTCTCAAGCTGATGATCTCAGGGTGTTGTGGTCCTTCAGTTGCTCACACTAGCCATCTCGGCCTTGTGGATTTTTCCCTTTTTCCTCCATTGCAAAGTGTTTTGAGGCTGCTCCTTGGAGTGCATATTGATTTGTGGCATAATGACCTGTCATAGGAAATACTTGAGAGAATGATTTAAGGGGGGAAGGTTTAGGAATCCAGTCATCAAAAGTACTGTTCTCTTGGCAAAGCCTGCTCTTCCTTGTCTGCCTGGACCATTTGCTGCAGAGCAAGGGGCTGAGCCTGGGGAACAGGGATTTGGAGCAGGCGCTCTCTACCTCCACATTGTTGCAAAACACATGTTTTTTATTTCCAAGTAGTAAGAAAAGAGAAAAATTGTGGTTTCCTGCTGAACTGCCTCTGCTCTACCCATTATTAACATCCCGTGGATCTGCCCATGAACCCCTGAGGTTAGGGAGGCAGACTGCTGCCTGTTTGCCATAGTGAGAAAGTGACGGGCTCCCAACAAGCACTCCACACGTGCTGCCCGATGACACCAGGGTTGCCAGCCATCCCTAGAAACGTCAAGTTCTGGAAGGGACCTGGGGATGGGGGTGGGGAGGACAATGTCTCTGCCTGCAGGAAAGGTGTTTACATGAACTGGGAGCAATCTCCTACAACCTGTTGATGGTTTTAAAGAATTCTCTATTTCTCCTCTTATGATAATGGCATATAAATGGGAAATTTGTGGCCTTGTCTTGGCCGCTCATTCCCCTTGCAGCCCTCTCACGCCTTGATTTTGTATGTATGAGAAATAATTAACTACTTAGATGTTTCAAGGTGCTGGCAGATGCTTCTGCACGCTCTCTAGCCTACCTTGACTGCCAGTGAAAGTGTCTGTCTTCCCCAGGAAGATCATTTTTGGTAACTGTTTATCAACACCCCTCCTCATGCTGCCATGCAGTCATTTCCTCTGTGTCAGGCTGTGTGTGATTGGCAGTTATGTGCCTGTCCCTTAGAATGCCACCTGCTGGTGGGCAGATGCCAGCTTTCAAGCCCAGCTCTGTGCTTGGGACCAAGAAAGGGCTCCTAGACATCAATGGAGGACATTAAGAATGGGATGCTGCTGAAGGAATCAGCAAGAGAAGAGATGATGAGCATCTCGAGGAGGCAGTGTGATCCAGGCACTTCATGCAAGTGAGATCGTGGGCAGGTGCTGCAACTGACTAACACAGCGCTGAAAGAGAAAATCACCCAGGCAGCCTGGGTTGGCCCCACCTCGAGCAGAACGCTCTTTGCGGTTCAGCCTTGTAGAGATGGTATGTTTAGCACTTTGAGCTTGGAAGGGGCGGCAGAACAAGGCTCTTGCTTCACCTTGGCAGTACTTTCAAAAAATGTGTTTGGGTAGGTTAATCTCTGCTTTGGCTTCCCGTTCTCACTAAGATATGAGGGTGTTTCAGAAAGTTCACAGGAAATGGAATTTAAGGATCAGGTTATTTGGGTGCATAAAGTTTTTAAATCCACACACAGTTTTTCTGTAACACACATTTCCTATGAACACTTAAGGATACCCCATCTGCTCAATACAAATAGAAATCATAGAAACACAGCTATTGTGGAAGAGTTTGAATAGGCTAGTCTAACGCTTTGCGAGAGAAATATTATATCCCACTGTTGGTCTTATTAACATACCTTAATAACTTCACGTGTTAAAAATACTGTCTCACAATTTCATCATTTTGGGGACTGTCATTGTGGCATAGCGGGCTAAGCATGTTAAGTTGCCACTTACAGTGCCAGCATCTCTCATGCCAGCTTGAGACCTGGCAACTCCACCTCCTGCTAATGTCCAACTTCCACTCAATATTCCTGGGAGAGCAGTGGAAGATTGCCCCAGCGATTGGGCCCCTACACCCAGAGGGAGACGAAAAGAAGCTCCTGGCTCCTGGCTTAGGTTTGGCCAACCTTGGTCATTGACTCCATATCAGTTGG